GTGACAATAAAAAAATTTAGTTGGCATAAACAAATTATTTTATTGTCAATGCATCCAGCAAATAACAATTAATACTCCTCACAAACCTTTCTGCTGTCCAAACAAATTTTTCCCCGTCCAAACAAATTTCTTTCGCTGTAACTATATCGACAAACAATTTGCTGTTCTAGCAAAATTTGTTTTTTCCGCGCGGGACGAAGCAGTCGGAAAAACAAACGCCAAACGCATGATGCAATCGATACGTAAAACGAAAATAGTTGTCAGTCAAAGAGATATATTATTCTCTTATAAAATGAATTAAATTGAAAAAAACATCTTGCATTTCGTGGCCTTCGTCTATTTCGAAGAAAAGATTTAAGATTATTTAATTATTGGGCATAATAACAGCGATTAGCCGTGTGTCGCCCCGCCGTTTGAGTACGCCGATCTCGTTAATCTGATGTAATAAATCAACATATCATTAAGAGAAAAAGGTTTCGTTAAATTAATAAAATACGTATAATAACAAATGATTTGTTACTTTCAATTTGCTGCCCTAAACAATATTTATATAATGTGGACAGATACTATTGCTCCGTTAATCGAATAAATTTTTTATTTGACTTGCTAACAATATAAACTACAATTACAAAGGTCGAAAATGACATTTCAGTAAACCACTTGTATCAACGAAGGCATGTTTCTTTCTGCGAAACCTTGGAGAAAATAGTAACAAAGATATTATTATGTAACGCAAAAAAAATTGTATATTTTTAGCGTGGCAGGTTAATCCGTAACACATACATACACACCACACTGACAACTGCTTCGCTCTGACTAGGTTTATCAATGCGAACTACACGAGTTATAACTGCGCGAGACTTTTATTTGATTTCGCACAAAACGCTTCTGCTGTTACAACGCTTGTCGTTATATTTGTCGGTGCTACTGACATTATAAATTGTACTTATAATGAATTCGGTACATCCAACAAATAGATGAAAACAAATGTGATTTGTATCTCTGGCAATGTATATTTGTTAAAATGACAAATAATAGGAAATAATTTGCAACGATAACTGTCCTATCTGTTTCCCTAACGATCATCAAGCAGCAAACGTGCTTTTGTTCTCACAACTTCCTAGGGATTTTTCTCAATGATGACTGTTCAATACTTAATAAAAATGATAATAATAATAATAATAAATGTTTTGAATATACTATATATATAACTCTTCAAAAGAAATCTATTTAACACGGAGAAAACAAACTTTGCTGGAACAGCAAATTGTTAATATAGCGACAACAAAAAATTTGGACAGCAAAAGGATTTATTAAGAATATTAATTGCTATTTGCTGGATATGCGGACAGCGGAAGAATTTGGTTGTGCTAATTAAATTTCATCGCTGTCGTAACGTTTTGCTACAACAGCAAAGTTGTTTCTTCCGTGTAACAAATCTTCTTGCTATTCCCACAGTAACTAACAATTTGTTGTGCCAGCAAAATATATTTTTCTCCGTGCAGCAAACGTGCTTTTGTTCTAACCGAAGAATTTTTCTCAGTGACTGATGTTTAATACTCAATAAAAAAAAAAAAATAATAATAATAACAAATTTTTGGAATATACTATACTCAATAAATACTCAATAAAGATAATAAATAAATGTTTGGAATATATCTGGAATAGAATTTATCTAAGCATCTCACATAGCTTTCTACTACGCGCCTCGTCACGCGATTGCTCCGCGACTCGTTCGTGTAAAATAATACAATTATTTTTCGTTTCGATCGCAGATATGCGGGAACGGAAATATGGCTTAATACAACCTCGTCGGACCGCCATGATCACCCCCCCTTTGCTCCCCTGCCAACGTCCTCCGCGGTCTTTTAATAAAAATATTTCCCCCTTTCGCGCACATCGGCCCTTTTCCTCTCCTCCTCGAGAACCCGACTTCATCCCTCTCACTCTGTCTTCCTCTCGCTCGCGCACCAATCTGCAGCGTGATGTAGTAGTAGGGTGAACGCGATTCGGCGTCCCCTTCGTGGAGGCACTTAGCTTGAAGGTATTTGTCTATCGAAAACTATATCCTCGCGCGAGAAATTCCCTCGACGTAGACGAGAACGTTGTTTCTCGAAGTGTCGCAGTAGTTAGCAACACGTGTGTCCGTGACTTCACGGGCTCAAGAGAAAAAGTAAGGAGCTCATTATTTCTATTCCGCGATATCGGGACTCGTTCGGTCGCATTCGAGCGAAGGAAAGTAATACCACCAGTAGTACGACTAATCGCCCGTCGCCTCGTTGTACTTCGCAATACTCGATATATCACGTTTATATTATACTTGCTAATAAAGTCATTACGCAAAAATAATTCCACGCGACAAGGAGCGCTACATTGTGCTGCGTAATGAATTTGCGTCAGTAGCGCGGATCTATCGATCGCCGTTGCGATCAGAATCAGCAACCAGAAAGTCGAGTCTCTAAGTCGAACGGATTTGCGTTTATTGAGATGCTAATATAGCGGTGAAACAAGAGTCCGTAACATTATGTACTGACAGAAAATTCTAGATAGTTTCGACGCCAGACATATTTCACGGTAGCAGCAGCATGCATGTGAAGTTATTATCACTACAGGAAAAAAAAACGTTCGTACGTTTAATTGACCAGACAGTGAACGGAACCAAACGTGTTTTCATTGAGGGAAACCGAATTTCCGGTCATAAGAACCGAATTTGAGTCATAGAAACCAGAAATTCTGTTTTCTTCAACCAAAACGCGGTTTGGTTCGCCGTCTCGTAAATTCTAGCAAACTTTTTCCGTGTAGTAATACTTATTAGAAAACTGGTTTTCCTGAACTATTTCTGTTTGATTATGTTTGGCGCTGAAACTAACTATAATTTTCTATCATAATAGTGTACATTAGGGATAATATTCGACATATTCGAAGCTTCGAAACTTCAGTATAATTCGATATTTGACGATGAAGTTCGAAAATTCGGAGATTCGAAGTCGAATTCTGTTCGGAATTCGAAGTATCAGAGCTCTTAATAGAACTAATTTTAGATAATGCAACAAAATGCTGTACAATTAGAAAGCATCAGTTTATAATAAGTATCTTTAGTTCAATTCTAGGATTTGTATTTGCCTGGTTTAAAACAAAGTGAATGAAGAAAGCACAAGTAATAAACAACGAATCTCATTAATTGTAAATAAATATAAATTTTGCATGTAAACGATATGTAACAGCATAACGCGATGCAAGAAAAAATTACACTCTTTATAACAGTAAGTACTATGGCTAGAAAACGAGCACGCGTATTTTCTAATTCTTGAAATCTCGAATATTCAAATATCCGAATCATAACGGTTCATAATTTCATTATTCGTATATAATATATCGAAGGTTCAAAGAGCTGAAGCTTCGAGTATAATTTCAAACCCTGTTACGCACCATTGAGACGCGTACTATCCGAATTTCGCATTCCGCCAGTTTAGGGGGAGGTCTCACGCGTTTTTGCAAACCTTCGTTCCCCCCTCGACCATTTCAAGTACCTTCGATCCGCGCGCTGTGTAGACATGCGTTACTCACACACGCGTTATGCACCGAGGGTCAGGACGGAAGGGCGGGGTGGATTTCGTTTGCCGGATGCGCAATGTCGCTGAGGGCTAATTAAACCAACGGTAACGCTAAACGTTGGCCGTTGACGATTGGCCTGCATCAATCAATCGGACCTTTTGTAGCCGGAGTTACCTTCGGTACACTCTGTATACGCGCGTACATATACACAGTGCAGGTTCTCCCTCTTACTCTCTCCCTGCACCTTATCTATCTTCGCCGCTCTATCTGTCCGTCCCTCTCCCTCTCTTCGTGGTCGGTACTCTCCGGTCGCGAGTAGCTGCCTCGGGGCGAGGGATAAGAGCACACCAGTGCCGTCGATATTCATCATTCCACCCCGCTCCAGAGCATTGAGCAAAAGTCACGGTCACGATTCTATAGAACACGCTGATGCGGCTCGCTTGACGATCGTAACGTAGCGTTATTTGCTTTTGAAATTGATCATGGCTGCATTCAGCGGAAAAAGTAGTAGCTTAGTAAGCGCTTTTCGCTTCGCGCAGCTTTGCAATTGCTGTGAGATTTTCTGCTGAACGGTTTCTCACCTGCGGTCTCCAACATATTTACTAAGCGCGGTCGTCATTTTTTCCAGCATACTTTGAATACGCCGGGCCGTGTAACCTAGACACGTTGGAGCAGTGTAAATTGTTAAGTGTCGTTCAGCAGAAAATCTTACAACAAATAGCAACTTGCAAAGCCTCCGGCAGCCCAACGGAAAGCTTACTAACCGCACGGGAAAAAATCTAGTTGCATTAACAAGAAAGAAGAATTCCTGATTCATACGAGCCAAATTTCTGGTTCTTACAACCAGAAATTTTGCTTCCTCCAATCAAAATACATCTGGTTGTTCCCTTCCTGGTGAACGCAACCAGACCTTTCTCCGTGTGCTTTTCCACTGAACGCAGCCAATATCGATTCGCAGATCCACGAAAGATCACTTCTTGCGCAAAATCTTACGTCTGACAATTCGCGACATACCCTATATATTTTACCATCAATTTTCAATTTTTCTTAATAAGCACACGCAGTAAAAGAAATTCTACATGGGAAAAAATTGTATTGTACTCAATAAAAAAGGAAATCAGATGCATTTTGGTTGAAGGGAGCGGAACTTCCGAATGATAAGAATCACGTTCAGTTCGTAAGAAGCAGAAATTCTGTCTCCTCCGGTCGGACTGGATTCCCTTTCCGCTCGACGCGATTTTTTCGATCCGTGTAACAATTGCGCGTCAGACTTTTCAGACACGCTTTCGCATTTCGAGGCGGTGTTTCTCTCGGTCGCGCTCGGGGCGCCTGCGCTCGGTCCGCACCTGCGTCGCGATCCCGCGGAGCGGGGGCGGCGAGGACGACGACGGTGGTGGCGGCGGTGGCCGCGGCGGCGTAGAGGAAGGCAACGAGGAGGCATCGCCAGTAGCTCCCAGGCAGTGACTCCGCGCGTGACGACACACGTAACCATCATCGGTCGGCCGTTTTCGCGCGGTGTTATGTCATCGGTGACAATCGCAGGACGCGGAACCCCCGAAACCACTGGCCCCGGACAGCGCTGATCGTGGATCCGCCGTGCTACCCCGCGAAGATCTCGGTCCGCTCGCGAGCTGTCCAAGTCTCCGTCGCCCCGACGACGCGTTTCCCTTCTTCGCCCGTCCTCCGCCGGTTGTCGCGCGTTCTCGAGAGTACCGTTCGCTCGCCGGGGAAGACGAGCTCTCGGGCCGACCTCGATGGGTCGGAGGTGCTCAGCGCGGCGGCCGGCAGCCGAGAGGAGCTCCGAGTCGACGCCGCCGAGTCGAGCTCGTCGTTGCTCCGAATCGACGCCCCGATGAAGATCGACGCCCGTGTGTCCCCGTTCGCGGCCTGTCACGGTTCGATAGCCGGATGAACGCCGGCGACCTCGGCGTAAGCGACGGCGGTGCGCGATCGTGCCTGGGATCGAATGTCGACGAACCCGTCGCGGCGCGACGTCCGGCCATCGACGGGACGATAAGACGACGGAGGGCGGAGGTCGAGCCGGTGGTCCTGGATCACGCGGAAGCGCGACAATGGCGATGCGATGGCCTTGAGATCGATCGCACGGGACCGGGCTCGGTGAATGGCCGGGGTGTGTGTGTATGCGACTTCCCGGCTCCAACTCGAATTCGCGCGACCGTCCCGTCTCCGCTACCGGGTGTCGCGAGCGCAGCTCTACGATGCGCGGAGCGGTGGTGGCCACCGGCAGTACGCGTCGCGATCACCGAGCCGAGGAGCAGCCTCCGCGGCACGTACGCGAGTACAGCGAGCATGTGAACGGGACTAAGGGGTCACGCATTTAAGATTCGACTGTGCGCGGGGGGAGAGCGAGTATAATATATATCGCGAGAGAGAGAGAGAGAGAGAGCGTGGTGAGGCAGCCAAGTGCGCGACATCGATCGTTTCGCGAATCGCGATCGGGGGACCGGAAACGGTCTCGTCGATGGACGAGTGACAGAGTAACCACCGTGCGTTGAATGGAGTGATGAGCGGGGCCCCTGCGCGGGGCACAGTGCCCCGTCGTCAAAGACGCCACCACCGTCATCACCATCATCATCATCATCATCAGCCGAAACATCAGAAGCAGGCAGCGGAAGAGGAGACGCCGCGGGACGCGGACGGCGGCGAGCCGGAGGGGAAGCGGCCGAAGGTCAACCCGATCTTCCTGTGGGCGTCGCAGCGCGAGCAGAGGATCGTCGAGGTGCGATGCGAGGACTACGACAAGCGTAATCGCATCAAGCTGACCAAGACCGCGCAGGGATGGCGCTCGATACCGCGGACGACGTCCAACGTGTACTCGATCGCCTTGGCCACCGCCGCCGGCGCCGCCTGCAAGACGAGGTCGCCGGTGGACTCGCCGGCTTCCTCGGTCTCGTCGAACGACGAGAAGGAGAACGGCAAGTGCGTCGGCCAGGAGACCGCGGCGAACTCCCATCAGCGTTTGCCGGCTCGAGTGACCGGCGTCGAAGGCAAGAAGAGGCGGTACGAGGACGCGAAGACCGACGAGAACCGGCGAGGGTATCCCCTCGGAGTCCGCGACGACTCCAACCGGAACGCCGTTCAGGGCTGCTCCGAGGACGGGGGTAAGGACGGCGATGAAGAGAAGCGAGACGCGGAGGCGGGCTGCGAACGGAATATACTCGAGGACTGTCTGTTGAACAGCACGAGCCAGCACAGGCCGATGGACGGCGGCTGGGTCAACCTGGAGAGGCTGCAGAAGGACAAGCTGTTCCAGCCGCGCGTGGTGCTGGAGCAGTTGCATCTGTCGCGGCTTCTCGAGGGCGCGCACCAAGGCGTCGTTTGCCCGGCGAGAGAGAGGAAGGACGGCGCGACGAGCGAGACGGAGCGGACGGGAAGAAAGGACGATGAGGAGGATGCGACCGACGAGGCGGAGGAGGAGGCGGCGGCGGATGAGAAAGACGGTGAGAAACGTCGACGGGTGAACAAGGCGGGCATTCAGGACATACTGAACATGATAGACGCCACGGCATCGCCCGTCCTGGCCGCCGACACTCCCAGCGCCGACCTGCCGGTGGACTCCACCAAGACCTACGAAGAGGTGCTCGACGAAGGTGCGCGCAAGAGGCGGTGCGTCGATAAGAGAGCCAGGGAGACGAAGCAGCCGGTCGATAATGCGAGGGATCGGCCGAGATCGAGTTACCAAGTCGAGGCTGTCCGGGACGACGACGGTGCCGACGACGTCGACGAGAAGCCAGAGGTGAACGAGGAGAAGATGCTCGAGGACTACACCTTGGACGTGGAGGAGAAGAAGATCTGCGTGGACGATGAGATCTTGCTCTCGCTCAAGAACAATCCCGAGACGGTGATACGATCCTGCAAGGTCGCCGAAGCCGACGGTGGCCTGGTGAATTCTCGGTCCAACTCGCTCGTCACGTGGCACAGCGTGCCGAGCGAGATGTTGCCGTCTGAGACCGAAGAGGAGGCGCCGGACGAGCCCGGAGAGCCGTTGAAGATCGATTACAACGACAGCTCGAGGCTCCTCGACGCCCTGAGGAACACGCCGGGGCTGTCGGTGTCCGTGATGAGGAGCGCCCCCGAAACCGGGAGCAACAAGATCGCACCGCCCGCGAGGCCGGCCTCGAAGGCGTCCTCGTCGAGCAGGTCGCCGGATTCGCAGGCGGAATGCGTGGAGAAGCTGCTGAAGAACGTCGATTCGCGGCCGAGCACCGGCTTCCTGGACAATACCGGATGCACGATCTCGCCTCGCAATCTCCCGGGTCTGTCCATCATCATACCGAATTACCGTTACCGGAGCGCCGCCGGTCAGCTGAGTGCGACCTCGCCGTGCACGAAGCGCCGCGTGGAGTCGCCCGAGAGCACGGTGAGCTTCAACAAGACCGAGTCGAATGAGGTCAAGCTCGACGTCTTTCCGCACGAGGAGGAGGACGAGGAGGAGGAAGAGGGAGCGGAGGACGAGGACGACTGTGACTCGCAGGTGTTGGAGGACCTCAGGAGGCAGAAAGCCGACTCGCTGGTGTACGACGGCGTGGACACGGACTACTACAACGGCAAGAGCAACACGGCAGAGCGGAAGACCCCGTTGGAGAACGCGAAGGGCGACCAAGTCTGGACAGGCTCCAATCGGAGCAGCGAGGCCCAGGCCAAGTGTAAATACCAGGACCTGGAGCACTTCGACGAGCAGGTGCTGGAGGAGCTGCGCTCTCGCGGCACCGTCGTGTCCCCGCAGCCCAGCGGGATACCGTGCTCGCCGGCCTCCAGGAGGCCGTCCTCCGCGTACCTCGAGAGACTACTCCCGAGCCCACCGTGCTCGGTGTCCTGTTCGGAGGACGCCAAAAGCGAGTTGACGCTGAAGGGCATCCTGGCCTCCTCCAACTGCGCGGAGTCGCGGGACTGCGAGAGGTCCAAGGAGACGACTCGAGCCGAGAATCAGGCCGTGGAGCTCGGCCTCTGTCGAGTCGTGCACTCGAGTGCCGACAGGAACGTGGCCGCCGCTAGAAGAGCCAATCGGAGCTTCCAGGAGCGCCCGGGCGCCCACAATCAAGAAGCGCGAAACCCCGGCAGGCCGATGTCCAGCGGAGACATTCACAGCAGCTTCTACACGGCGGATCGCGCCGCGCCGAAGAGGCCGATGTCCGCGGAATGGTCGACCGGCCGACACAGGAGTCAGACCAACTATTACCAGAGAATCGCCGGTAAGACCGCGAGGAGTCAGTTCGCCGAGCACCTCCGGGACGCCTGCGCCACATCGAGCAGCACGGACAGGCTCTCGGACCCGGCTAGCCAGCTGCGCGAGCTGATCGAGACCGCCGGTCATCTGATCCCCGACCCTCTGCTGGTGCCGCGAGATTACCTGCCGGGTCTGGCCGCAGCACCGGCTACGGAGATACCGAAGTTGCTGGCCACCAGACCCGAGCTGAGGCTACCCGAGGCGCTCACCAGACCCGACCTCCTCCGCGACCCCGACCTGCTCGTGATATCGTTGGCGCATCTGCAACACGTTCTGGACCACGGCGAGGGACCGGTGTCCAGGTCACGACAGCCGCAACCGGCCAGAGTCAACAACGGCAGAGGATCCGGTCATAGCAACGGTGCCGGCATCGTGAGAGGCCCCACCGCCGGCAGGCCAAAGCTAAGCTGCAAGCCGATCGGCACGCTGATGCCGGCGCCGATGGACCTGTCGAGCAGCAGAGCGCGCGTCACCCCCTACCCGCCTCTCCTCAGGGTGCGCACCGGACTGCTCAAGCAGGAACCGGAAGTGAGCTCCACCGCGAGCTCGCCGGACGAGTCGCAGTTGTGGCACCCGTTGTTCGGCAGGTAAGTCGATCGATCTCGGAAAGCCGATGAGTGAAACGGGCCGACCTGGGACCCCGGAATGACAAATGAAAACGGTATGTTTCTTTGTAGTTTTCGAACTGCTGAATCCGATTCTGATCTTGAAAACGTTTTAATCCACCGAGAAATTGTAAGTTGTTAAAATCAGCATATGAAGTTATTAACCCAGTCAACACCGAGCATCAGTTACATTATATCTGTGTTATAATTTCGCATTTAACAATGTAAATGTTATATGATATTGTCATTTTTATGTAAACGTTATATAACATTTACATTGCTGAGTGCGAAACTATGCATAGATGTGATGTAATTGATGCTCGGTGTTGACTGGAAAACATCCAGTGCTGTTTGTTATTACTCGACCTTCACGAACGTATTCGTTTGTGTTTTCCTGTTAGTAAATTATATTATTTGTGTTTTCCTGTTAGTAAATTATATTATAATATTTATTATTAATATTTATATATAATATGTTTTAGTGTCAACAAAATTTACATATCGGTCGATTTTAATATGTAAATTTTGTCGATTTTATATATGTAAATTTTATTGACACTAAAAACACTAATAAATGAAGAAGGCCTTATTCGATCAAAGCGGATCTGGATATTCAAAAATATTCTTTCCAATATTATAATATAATATTTAAATATTATAATATAATATTTAAATATGATATTAAATTAAAATCGACCGATATGTAAATTTTGTTGACACTAAAAACATTAATAAATGAAGAATTCCTTATTCGATCAAAGCGGATCTGGATGTTTAAAAATATTCTTCCCAATATTATAATATAATATTTAAATATTATAATATTATGTTGTTATTATTATATAATTATAATATTTACTTTATTATAATTTTACATTTTCATTAATATACTATTTTTATAACAACTCCTTGTATATTTAATAGTATCATATGTTGATTTTAATCATTTTCCGAGAAATAAAAAATTTTTTAAAGTCAGAATCAGATTCAGCAGCTCAAGAACTACGAATGAACATACTTCGTTTTTACTTGTCAATTTAAGGACCGAAATCAGCCCATTTTACCCATCGTCTTTTCTCGAAATAAAATCTACGATTCTAAAAAAATCGATTTTCTTCTATTTTTTCGCATATTTTTGGTTTCTTTAGTAGAAAAAAAAGATTTTTTCCGAGCCTTTAAAACTACAGTAAAGTCTCACTCAAAACGAATGAAAATTCGCTCGAAACAAAAATACCATCTTGGAATCGCAAGAGTATGCTTGGCTTAACTTACAGTGGATTTTTAATCCACCCGATTAATTTTTAAGGGAAATATTCACTCGACTATTCCGAGTGGAACATTCACTCTATATTAATGAAAAGTCACATGAATTCGGATGACCCGATTGTCACTTCTATTTTTCGGATGAAATTTCACCCGAAGAAATTTGGAGGGTAGAACACGGTTATTACATCTGACTTACGCGTCTCTCTAAAAGTGAACATGTTTCTCGCGTCGGCATCTGTGCCAAAAGGTGGAAGCACACTTGTCGAATTATCGCACGGCCTCCTCCGACTTGAATGTCTCGGACGGTTGATGAATTCGCCGTCGTAAACGGTGGGAACGACACACGTTCGATTCGCGATTCGACGGCGTTCATGTCGTCGTCGACAGAGTCGTCCAATTATGCAAACTGAGCAGTAGAATTAAACTCTCATTGAGAAAACGTAACGTCCGATGAAACACAGCGGCGCGGTAATTCGCGCGCGCGGACAGCACACGTCGGATATATTTATAGAGCGAAAGACGTGAAACAGGGAAAATAAAAAAAAAACAAGAGAAAAAAGGAACAAAGTGGCCGTCGATGTCTCGCTTACTCGGGTGCAAATAGGTCGGCCTTAATAACGACCACGATAAACCGTGACTGCACGAAAACAATACTGTTAACCTTCGGCGAAGTCACGAAGGAGAAGGAGTCGGACAAAGGGAGGACGACGACGTCATCGTCGAAGCGACGGTGAAGTAGACGACGCCGGTCGTTCCGGTCTCCCTCGCGAGCGACGTAAAGTGTCCGCGCGGCGGAAGGAAGTACATTCTGATCCCTTCCGTGTCTACAATTAACACGCGGGAACGCACTCGGTCATGCAAATGACGTCCGTGTGTATTCTCGCCGACGGTGGGCCGTACAATTAAATTTACACCATTTCCATCGATCCGCTCGTCCCTCACGAAATTCGTCATGTCGATGCTTTATGCATACTGGAGAAGATCGGAGAGGCGCTACCTACGGGGCGTTTCGCGATTCCGTTTGACGTCGGGCTGGCATATCGACTCGCGACTCGATGACGGCGATTGCCGTCACAGCGCACGAGGTTCATTTGCATCTTAATACGGCGACGGTGCTAACGCGACTCGGCGGCGCGCGGTTAGCCGCGCGACGCGCCTAACAAATTCCGCCGGGGCGCTTGTCACTCGGAGCTTATAACGAGCCGATCTGTCGCACGTCTGTACATCAACACTGTTAAATATTTAAATTAGACCGAGCGCAGCCGAACGACCGAGAAACTGCTCGGTATCGCGCCTCCTACGTCGACACAGCGTGACCTACTGTTACACGCTTCCTCGGTCGAAAGGAGGATTGATGGGCGTCGTTAGCGTAATTGGAACGGGGCGGTGGATGCACGAGGAAAATATCGCGACGTGGGAAATAGAGAGGACAACTCGACTAGAAATTGTCATCAGATATACTTGATGCTAGACAAGGTTCCAACTACTAGGTGAACTACTAGGTGAACGCAAAGTAATCATTACCATGATGATGAACCTAATCATACTGATGGAAATTGATTAAGGAAGACCTTTGCGAGGTTACATTAGGTGTATACATTGAAAGAAAGAATTTAGTAATAAGAACGAAAATTTTGTGAATATTTGCCGACCAAATATTTGATTACTGCAACCAAGTAATTTAGTTCAGTATATTAAATATACAATATATGGAACTACAGTACTGTATATACAGTAAATGGGACTAAGTTATTTGATTGCAGTAATCGAATATTTGATTTCGGTAAATATTCAGCAAATTCTAGTACTTATTACGAAATCCTTTTCCCAGTGTATCAGAACTTCGTTATTATCCTAATGTATTATTTTATAAAGTTTCACTGATCATATCCTTTTCGGGATCTTTACCTACTATGACTTGCAATATCAGTTTCTAACACGGACCTTTTAGCAAATTTACTATAGTAGGTTTGATTAATAAAAACTTTATTTTCTATTTTTTTTTTATTAAAATACTTGCCATTTTTCTACTTTTAAATTATAAAAAAATTTTGTAATAAATTCACATATATTTTATATAAAATTTAACTAAACTATCATTCATCGACTGTACATTTTTTTAAAACTTATTACGGAGTATCTAAAAATTTTCGGTACATCCATGGTGTGTAGGTAAAACAGATTAAACTGAATAGAAAAGTCATATACCATTTTACAATTATTAAGTAATTATTGCAAATTTTGCAAAATAGTACGTAACTTTTCTATTCATTTTGATTTAATTGACACCTGCACACTTCGACTTGGCAAAAAAGTTTCAAACACTTTGTGCGTATATAATTCGAAAAACAATTATTGTTAGAATTGGACGATTTTCTATTTTGATAATGCAAATGATTTATTTGCTTCTATATATATATATATACATTACTTGCATTATTAAAGTAAAAAATCATCCAATTCTAATAATATCTGTTCTTCGATTTATATTTTGTAGGTGCTTTTTAGTTCAGCACTCCCTGCTATTTATCAATCTTAATTTAATCATAGTCCTTGCCGTTACTTGAGGTGAAACGTGATAAGGTTTCAATAGTATAACCCGATGAAAACATTATCCTGATTAAAATCCTGATTACCACGCGGCGTTATATGCCTTCTTAGAACCCGACAGTACAACCTTCCCCGAATGGACCCGTCAATCAGTTAAGATCAACCTGATCTGAACCATGAGGTAAATTTCTAGTCGGAAATGATCGCACGCGCGAGAGAGAAAGAGGGAGATTCATCGAGAGAGATGGTGCGATGTCCGGCGCGGCATCCTCGGCGATTCGAAGGAACCGCGCACGGACGCGCTCAGAATAGAATCCCCGAAATTGCGTGTACAGCGGACATCGGGGATTTTTGGCAGCACTGCTCGCCCCGCTGCGTTCGCGAAACTCGCGACTTTAATCCTACGAGGAATTCCTCACCGGTCTCTCCCCGTCGATGACTCGCTCGGAAAATTTCTAAACTCGATCCTGCGCCACCGTCGACCACTAATTGGCGGATCGAGACTTCGCTAATTAGGACCGTCAAGCGGAGACTCGCTGTTGCCGGTGTTGCACGATCAGCCATTGGCACGACGCGAAACTGGGTCGTGTCGTCGTTTTTCGTCCTACGTTCATTGTCTGCGCTCGCACGAAGACAACGAAGACATCGAGGACGACGAGACAACGTCGACGACGAGGAGGTGGAGGAGGAGGAGAACGAGACGCGGTTGCGCAAGCCCGCATATTTAGGATTCATAGGCTCGGGTATAGATCCGAAGGAATCGATAACGATACGTGGGTAGAAAGGGTAAAGGATGCCCAACGGCGGTATGCTAATTTTCTTTCACGGTAGGGAGGACACGTCTGCGATCGTTATTCCTACGACGGATCGCTTCATTTATTATGTTCGCAGTGACATGGCCGGGAAGCTACTTTAATAAATTAGCCTTGAACTGGGATTTGATTAGACCGAAGACCTATATGTCGACCATACGATGACACGATGTGTGACGGTACATAAGACAACGAGTCGCTTACACTTCACGGAACGCGAATTCCAGCTGAGTCGAGCAGAGATTAGCAATCGTCGTTCCCGGTGGAAAAATCACGCCACGAACGCGTCCCACGGCGTTTTCATCTTGATGAAAAATGCGCACGTGTGCACCCGTGCTCGCACGTGTGTGAGTT